GTGTGTGTGTGTGTGTGCGTGCGTGTGTGTGTGTGTGTGTAGGCTTAGAGCCTCTGCCCAGTCCTTCTCGCTGCTGGAAGGTTGGATTAAAGGAATAAACGACAACCTCCAGACTGCTGGCCAAACCCTGCAGAGGGCTGAGCGAAGAAGAAAGGGAGTGACTGTGTAGGTGAGTGTTAGAGAAGCAAAGGAATTTGTATGTGTGTGACAGAGAGTGAAGAGCGGGAATCTGTACTGTTACGCAAACAGCCAATTCAATTAGTGGTAGGTGTAAGAACATTAGAGAGAGAGACAGAGTGCAGGAGCGAGAGAGGATGTGCAAAAGGGAGAGAGAGAGAGAGGGCACCCATTTTGACAAAATGTCAGAGGCAATTTATCACGACCTAACAAAAGACCCCAGGGATAAAGTGAGAGAGAGAGAGGAGGAAGGTGTGAGGACTGAAGGAAAGGAGGGAGAGGAGGCAGGAGTGAAGCATTACTCTGGGAAAGAAACATCTACAGGATAACAGAAAGGAAGTAAGGAAAAGGAAATGAGGGATCTGTATTAAGAGAAAGAAAGGCTGCAGGAGAGGATGTAAAGTTAGAAAAGGCATCCTGTGGAAGCCCTACGCAGGAACAATGTAACGCAGCAGCATGAAGGTAAACATTGCATTCATTGGACAACTCGGCAGATGATAGAGTAATGGAGGTTTAATTGAAGAAAGAAAAATCTTTGAAAAAACATATTTCGCAGTGATGTGAGACTTGTAATAATATAGTGACTGTTCTCTTATAAAACTTTATAAAACATGGGGTTCCAATCAAGCCTGCTGGAAGATTTTACAAAGCCCAAAAAAGCTGCATAGAAGGGATTTTTATGTTTAGGTTTACAATCTTCTTCCTTACAAAGACATTGATCATGGCCTGCCATAACTGAGTAACTGCATGTGGGAAAACAAAAATATTCTCAAGCTGTTCAGCATCAGGTTTGTAAAATAATTATTAGGTTTTAATTACAGATTAATTGTGTGTGTTTGTTGCAGTAAAAGCACAAAAAACAGTATAACACAATAAAATGATTTTACATTAAATTATGTCCTGTGTTTTATTTTCTTTAGTTTATTCATATCCCGAGACAGCTAACTGGTGCCTATTTAATAGTAAAAGTATCTGTTCTTGCTCTGATATTACATGACAGACTGCAGAAAGCACTAGACTGAGAGACACTTCTTTCTGTTACACACAACAAAGTTTACAGCTCGTCACATAAATGAGAGCCAGTCAGCCTAAAGCAGGCTCTTTCCCTCTGAAATGAGATGTTTGGGCCGATTAACTCTGACAGAGCCGCTCCACTAAACCTGCATCATTTCTCTGCTTAAACTCCTTCAGTAAGACTTTTACTGTTCAGCGCAGAGATGTTTTACAATGTAACCGCCTGAAGTCAGAGAAAAGGAGGCATGAAAGTAAAAGCAGGGAAGATGCACTCATACATGGCTTCATTGATTAACCCTCTAAGGTCTGTGATGACCTGAGGCCTAACTAAACCTAGCCAATCACTATGTGTATTTTTTGTTTTATTAGTTAGTGGGG